CTGCAAGATGCAGGCAAAACTTGTGCTGAGCCAGTTCATTGGCCTCTCTGGGAACCACGTTTGGTGACTGTACAACGCTGCTGTGGGGTTCTGCTGCTGGCTTCTCTCATGCAACAATTCCTTCCCTGTTTTGTCCCACCAGGTGAAGGAACTTGTGTTTGCATTCTGCCATCAGCTGCGCTCCAAGTTCCTGGACCAGTCTCTGGGAGAGCAGGTAGAAGCAGCAGCCTGTCTGGGGCTGTGGTGGGGGCACATGAGGCAGTGTCACCTCCTGGTCAGGACAGAAGTGCTGCTCAGGGATCTGGTGTCAGTCTGCTGGAACGGTGAGGGCTGGGAAGGGACAGACATTTTGGGCACCATGCAGAGCAAGACAGGAGTTCCTTCTGTCCAGCCCTTGCCCAGGGAGAGTCCGGCCTCTCTATGGAGAAGGGCAGCCAGACCCTGAGCAGGCAGCCAGATCTCTGGTGCTGTCTGCCTGCTGCAGCACTGAGGTCCTGGCTGCTTGCTTGTTGGGAGTATTCAGTCCAGCTTTACGCTGTTGCTTGAAGGTTTGACTCCACGCTGCACCATCCTGTGGCATGGAATTGAACCCAGTTTATGGCCAGTTACTTTTTTAGACTTAACGTTGGCTCTTGGCTACCTTTGGTCACTGCTGGTACTGGCACTGTGGGAACCCCCAGTGACTGACTGCTCTGTTTTCACATTTCAGGTTATAAAGAATTTGCTGTTTGTTGCCAAAGTTATTTACTTGCTTGCACCTCCCTCGGAGGAAGGTGAACAGGCTGAAGGAGAACTTGGCTGTGAGGTGGAAGAGCAGGAGGCTTCTGAAGATGAGGAAGAGAAAGATGTTTCTGCTCAAGGAGAGGGAGAAGGAGAGGACACAGAAGAGAAGGGTCGGCCAGTCACATTGATATGGCTGATGAAGAAGCTCTCTCTAATGGCAAAGCGAGAAGCAGCATATTCCCCCAAGATCCCATTAAAGGTGAGAGCAAGATTAAACCAGCAGTTTAATGCAACAAGCACTTGCATAGACTCTTTGCTACCAGAGGCTGTTGGGAACTGATGCTGAGGTGAGGAGTGGTAGGTGCTGATGGAGAAACCAAGCATTTCAGGTTGGGATTCTCAGGAAGGCCTTCCACCAGTTTGCTTCTGCTTTGTTGCTTCCAGGTGGTGGAAAGGTGGGAAGCCAAAGGCCACCAGTGTGCAGGGACAGAGTGCTGCCTTTTAAAATATAGTTATCCAACCTTTTGGCTTGTCTGGGCCACATTGAGTGAAGAGGAATTGTCTTGGACCATGTATAAAACATGTAATATAGTTCACGTATATAGGTACCAAAACTTATTTTGTTCTGGTTTTTATTAAAACAGAAGAAGAGGCAACCAAATGAGAAAGCTAGCAGGTTGGACATGCATGCTTTAAAAGCTTGACTGTGCTATTTTTATGTGGACGGGGGAATGTCAGTGTGGAACTGTCAGGAGAAGGGAGGCCATGTGAGTGACAGAAGAAACACTGTGATTCCCTGTGATGCAGAGGGAAAGGCTGAGACTTTCATATCTTCAGCTGCCCTAGTACAGGACAGTGACAGAACAAGCTTCTTCTTAAAATGTTACCAGCTAACAAGTGAAGTTTGAGCTCACACATTTACAGATCCCACGGAGCTGTGTCTCATCTGAAGGCTGTGCTTAACTGCACTGAGACCTTATGCCAGCAGTGAATTTCTGACAGCTGTCTGAAACGCCTTGTACATTGAGATGTGGTGCACATGTTCTTGTAGCTGCTCACTTAGGCAGTTTTTTTCTTACCTGCTTTCGTGTTCCATGCACTCATTTTCAGAGGAGCTGCATCTTTAAGTTCCTCGGAGCAATCTCAGTGGATCTGGGGAAAGACAGAATCAAGCCGTACCTTGCAACAGTCCTCACTCCTCTGTACAGGGAGCTGAACAGCACCTATGCAGAGCAAGGTAAGTGATATCCTTCATCATGAACTCCTCCTGTCATCCTTTTCCTCTGTTGAGGAATAGATGCCTTTAACAGTGAATTTCACCTACTTGCAGTTTAACCAAAATATCAGGAGAGGAGGAGAATGTATGACAGCTTGAACAAAAATGTGCATGCTGACAAAGTCCTGGCGTTAGGCAGGCTCCTGCACACAAGTGGGTAAAGCTTGAGCTTATGTGGAAGAAGTATAGCGCTCAAGGGTGGACTCGTGGCTGCAGGATTGACCACTCAGCAAGGGGAGGAAGGCAGGGCAGGTCTCAGAGAAGCTGCAGCCAAGTGTCTTTCTTTCTCCGTTGCCATATTAAGGTCTGCTGTGAGGATTAGGAGCTCTTTTGAAATAAAGCATCCTGAAAATGAACTTCAGTGTGTGTTACGTGTATGCAGTGACTGAAAGAGAACAAATGCTGCAGTGAGGGCAGGAGAGCTGTCTGCTACAGGAATGATGCACGCTGTGTGTGCAGGCAGGCGTGCACCTATTGAATTTCACCCTCCAGAATGACTCCAGGTCACTCTGCTCCACTCGCTTTGTCTAAGCAGAAACTCTGGTTCCTCTTTGGGGACCTGTGTTTATTTAGAATTCTTAAGGAAACCTGAAGGTACATAACGAGGAAAATGAGAGCAAAGATTGCACAGCAGCCTCAGTGCTTAATTGCAGAGCAGTGAATCTGTGTATATGGCCTGTATGAAACAATGCTGGGTGGAGAAAGACCAACTAATTTCCCACGATGGACTCCTGACTTAAGAACAATCTTTCATTGTTCATGAGAGTGTTTTAAGTCGGGCAAATCTAGTGTCAGGATAAGCATAGGCCATAAAGCAATACATTTAGAGGAACATGCCTTGAAAATATGTTGTGCATCTCTAGAAAGAATACAAATGAACTGGAGAAAAGGAGAAGGGCAGTAATGAGGTTCTGGTAAGGAGCAACTGACTGGCCATCATTTTTTAGCTGAGTTCAAAATGTGTAGAAGAGATTGGCAATGGTGTGAGAGGATAAAGAAAGATGAACTTCTTGCTTTCTGTGTCAGCACATGAAGCACTACTTGTAGCCCTCTGGGAAGGCTGGTAGAGAACCAGCAGATATTTCTTAAATTAAGTTGTGCCAGACAAGGTCCAGGTTGGATATTAAGAAAAATTTCTTCTCCTAAAGAGTGATCAGATATTGGAACAGGCTGCCCAGGGAGGTGGGGAAGTGACCAACCCTGGAGGTGCTCAAGAAATGGTACTGAGGGACAGGGTTAGTGGGGAAATACTGGTGGAAGGTGGTGGTTGGACTAGATATAATCTTGGAGATCTTTTCCAACCTTGGTGATTCTCTGTCTTTGGATCTGTGCCTGCAGAAATACTGGGCAAGATCCATCAGTAGGAATGTCTTCAGTAAAAGGGGTAATTCCCTATTGGGTTCTTGGCTTTTGCTCTATATGCTGAAAGGATTAAGCTGGTTTATTTTGTTTTATTAGATCCAACACTGAAGAACCTTTCCCAAGAAATCATAGAACTGCTCAAGAAATTAGTTGGTCTGGAGGCTTTTTCGCTTGCTTTTTCTTCTGTGCAGAAACAGGCCAATCAGAAAAGAGCTATGAGGAAAAAGCAGAGGGCTTTGCAGGTAAGTTTATTCTGCTTCTGGGAAAAGGAAAACAGGGCTTTTCTAAAAAGCTTGAGAGCTTATCAGGGAGATGAGTGTGAAGAATAATGAATCCTGAATTAGGGTAGTTTGTGAAATGAAAACAAGAAACTATTGAGAAAGTGATCAGGCACTGCAACAGTCTTGCCAGGGCAGTGATGACAGCCCTGAGCAGCCAGAGTTCAAGGAGCATTTGGAGAACGCTCTCAGACCAAGGGGTTTGTAGGGTGGCCTTGTGCAGAGCTAGGACTTGATCATCATTGGGGGCTCCTCCAACTCGGGATGTTCTATGATGCTGTGGTTTTATTTAAGCTAAATAAACCTGTGGGCAGGTTTTGACTGATCCCAGTGCCCTGCTGATTAGGTTACCTGAAGAGCAGCAATAAATGTGGCTCCAGCAGCCAGAAAGACCCTCATTTTTGAGAAGCCTTGGAGGTCGTGCACTGCCTGTCAGGTGTTCATTTCTTGGGAACTGTCTGACATTTACAGTTTTAACTGAACAAACATATTCTTTTTCATTAGACTGTGGCAAACCCTGACATTGCTGCAAGGAGGAAGCTGAAGAGACACAAGAATAAAGCAGAAACGAGGAAGAGAAAAATAGAATTCCTGCGCCCCAGCTATAAGGCCAAGAAACATCGCAGTCATGCACTGAAAGACTTAGCAATGGTGGAATGAAAAGTCTTTTCCTTCCCAGAGGATTAATTTGTAAAAGTGAATTTCAAGCCAATACTGTTGGGGGAAAAAAAAAAAAAAAAGAATATGTAAATATTCTAATTGTATTTATTTGTATTTTTTCCATGTCTTCTTTTTAATCTGTGATCTTAAATAAAAACTTTTTAAATAAAGCTTAAGGGTTTGTTTTATTTTTTTCTCCAAAACCTGTATGTTTATTAGATCATGTGAAGTTCATTGCACAACCAGTCTGTTTTTTTACACTGAATTTTTACTTCTTATTTAAAAGATGGGTTATATGATAACTGCATTCATGCCTCTGCCCCTCCCTCCTTCTGGAGAAAACAGACTGCATCGACCTTGATTTGTCTTTCAGCTTCCACAGCTGTAGGGAGAAAGCTGACTCATTTGCAGCCTTGCAATAGCACCTTGTATAGAAAGAACAGCTCAGGGAAGGGGGGAGTTGAGTTATGGGCATGCCACATCAGGGCAGCAGACAGCCACTGAAGAAACAAGAAGTGATGCTATGTTAACAGGTACTGTTGTTAACAGCTGTACTTCATTGTAACTGTACCTGCACTGAGGGATACTGAAGCATAACAACATCAGCTTCAGGAAACCTGCAATGTTCAGCCACGTGTCTGTTATAACTGGCTGCAGCAGAACTCAACTCTGCTTCTGCAAGCAAGCAACGCACCTGGGAGTACAGCTGATCATTGTGGATTTTATTAGTGTTTTAATTACACAAATAGAGTAACCATACCAACTTCAAACTACCCAGTGAATGGAAAAAGAATATATAAATCCCTTTGCCCTCCAGAAAAACTGTCATACAAATTGTTAAGCACATCTTTAAACACAAAGAAAGAAAATGACCATAATGTACACAGACATCCACTTGGTTCAGTTTTCTAGCTGAAGAGAGGCATCCACATTATGTGACCCAAATGCAAACTTGCCCTATTTACAAGTACTTGTGGCCTGACCATACTTGACTGCAGAAAGAGGGATGCTGGACGTAGTTGAAACTTCTTGGCAATTGTCAGTTTTGTATCACTGTCTACTCTTCAAGGCTTCCACCAACCTAGGAAAAAGGGTAAACCAGTTTATTGAAAAATCATATCAGAGATGCCAGGACACCTTTAGGAGTAAATTACCCTTTCTAGTCATGTGGGCTCTTGTTTTAAGATGACAGCCCAGAGCAATACAGCCCTAGTTAGAGGGCACTGCAAAGAGGCAAGTCCTGAAACGCTCATCTTTCTGTTCTCACAAGTACAAGGAAGCTCTACAAACCTGTAATTCATACCTTGCTTTTACATCAGACTTTCCATCTTTCTTCTTTACGAAAGATGATGTGTTAAAAGGCACCTCGCTAATGAAGCTAACAACCAGATTTTTACTCACCACTCCATTGCTTCATCAAGCCCCGTGCCTTTAGTAGCAGAGGTTTTGAATATCTGCCATTTTCTGTCCTTCAGTGCTGGTAATCCCAGTGCATTTGCCATTTCTGTGGGAGTCATGGCCTGCTCCATGTCCTGCTTATTTGCAAACACCACCAAAATGGCTTTCTTCAATTCTTCTTCCTAAGAAATGAGAATCATGCCAAACTGTTTGCCAAGATTTTTAAACTAAATTTATTTACGCAGAGAAAACCCGTAGGACAAAAAGCAGCTTCTGTCATGGCCCTCCTCCAGTTTGCCAATTTTAGTGCATTACCAAAAGAATGACACCTATTCTGAATTCCATTTGCTCCCACGTCACATAGAAGCACTTTCAAAACAAGGCAGATTTCATAACATAACAGCACTCTGTAAACAGGAGGCAGATTTAACAAGGCATACTATTAAAAAGCTTATAGCACTTAACGCATCTTCCCTTTATTACTGTTCCATGCACATTCTTCAGCTTCACTGCCCAGTAGGACACCACTGGAATTCCTTCAGGGCCTGATTTTCTACCACTGATGCACCGAGCAGCTGCCCTTGTTTTCATGCAAGGCAAGGCAAGTTTTCATGCGACCAAGAGGCTAAATGTAACCTACTGTCCAGAGAATTACTGTGCAAAAGTATAAAATGCCTACAGTACATTGAGCTTGCTTCAGTTAGAAGTGCTGCATGGGCCTGTTCTGAGGGCTGAAGCTTCGCAACCAAACGTGATTGATAACCACTGAATCAAGTTTCACACCTGCTCCAAGAACTGTAACACTTCATTTCCATTGTACTGATAGGACCAACATTGTTCTCATTTTCTTACCTCCAGCATAGCAACAAGCTCCGATTTTGAAGTGCCAATCCTGTCTCGATCACAGCTGTCCACTACATAAATGACTGCATCTGTATTGGAATAGTAACACCTCCAGTACGGCCTGCAGAAGACAAAAAAGCCATCTGAAGGTTTAGCAGTACTCTACAGCCACATAATGAAAAGCCAACCAGAGGAAGTAACAACTCTCTCTGGGGTTAAAAAAAAAAAAAAAGAACAAACTTATCATCATGAAGTTATAAAAAGGACCACAGTGGTACAAATAATCACCAGCAAAAACTAAGATGAGCTTTTTTAAAGAGCTAATTCATAGAGGTACGTAATTACTGAGGGTCATAACCATCTTTTTCAGGACTACTGGAGCTAAAAAGGAAAAGGAAATTAGCACTGCCCCTTATTGAGCAGTGTTCAAAGTGTAATCCTGAGGAAGGCACACAGGGTCCTGCACAAACCATTACAATTATACATGGAATGGTTTGTTAAAAAACTCAAAGCTCACTACTCAAAAAAATTATTGCCTATGTTCAAATATCATCTTATAGCTTTGCACTCTTAAAAATATGAAATTTAAATATAAACGTTCAGAATTCTGCCTAGTTCCATGCTACACAAGTAAACTAGCTTTTCAAAGCAGAACCAGTGAAATTAATTCACTTGTAGCCTAAAACAGACGTGGCAGTAACAGAACCCTATCAAACAAAAGTGCCCTCTTGTCAACGAGCTGGTTTTAAACTCAAAGGAAACAACTGTCAGAACAGACAGCTATGAGAATGTCAAGAACTTTGCAAGCACTTTTTACCGAAATTCGATGACATCTTTTTATTTTTAGATACACATTACCTTATGCTTGTCTGTCCTCCCAGATCCCAAACTTGAAATTTCAGATTCTTGTATGTCACTGTTTCAACATTGAAGCCAATTGCTGAAACAAAGTTACACAATTTTACTGATGATCCTTTTTCTCTTTTTTTTTTTTTTCCTGAAATACACTTAGTTTAAAATCATCATGCCTAAAAATTCCTCATGAGCAACATAGTGACGCTCACATCCCTTGAGAAGTCACTCCAACAGGCATTTATGGCTGAAAATAATGCATCATAAACATATTATAGAGACCTGCCAACAAATGCTAAAGTTGTTATAAATGAGTATTAGTGTGCCTGAAAGCGTCAAAGGAAACAAAGCAGCAGTTAAAGGAGCAGCTTGCTTTGATAACCAACAACTGACAGCAGTAGAATGCTAAGGAACATAACCTACATGTCAACACCAGATCTGTGGCCTTGAAAGACCACAGTAGAGACTGCTTCTCAGCAGAAGGCTTTATATCATGATATCTGAAAGATGGCATAAAGTTACAGCATATACAGCTGTCATTTCTTTCCCTGTCACCACAGAGAAACACAGAGCAGGAAAACAAACAAACATGGACTGCCTAAAAGATCTGACCAAAGTCAGTCAGTTCATCACAGCCATTCAGGAAGACTTCAACTGATGTGGCAAGGATTCAACAACCAGCATGCCCAGTCCTTCACATTACACCCCCATCTAGTTCATGTTACCTACAATTTAGACTAAATATCAGGAAGAAATTCTTTACTGTGAGGATGATGAGACACAGGAACAGGCTGCCCACCAAGGCTGTGGATGCCCCCTCCCTGGAAGCATTCAAGACCAGACTGAATGGGGCTCTGAGCAACTTGGTCTAGAGGGAGGTGTCCCTGCCTATGGCAGGGGAGTTGGAACTGGATGGTCTTATAGGTCCCTTTCAACCCAAACTATTCTGATTCTATGATCTCAACCAGAAAACAGCACACAAACCTCAGTTAAGCAAATAGTTAGTTAATAGTTAGTTAACACTTAGTTAAGCAAATATCTCCTACTATGACATCTCATACTGAGCTGCTACACTTTTTTTCTACAGAATGTAGAAGACAAGAAGAAATGCAGGTAGTTTTCTGTGTTAAAGAGAAGTGTTTATATAACAAACTTAAGACCCTTGGCAGTAACAAGAAGTGAGAATCACAGAATCACCATGGTTGGAAAAGCCCTCCAAATTCACCCAGTCCAACAGTCCACCCACCACCAATATTTCCCCACTAGACCACATGCCTTAAATTAAATAGGTGTGACTCATTGATGCCATCCTATGTAAAATTTGCTATGTACAATAACAACAAACTCTAGAATTCACACTAGTGCTATATTTAGAGAGAAAAAAATTCAACACTCCATAGCTAGTAGTTAGAGAAGCCTACCAATCATACTAACAACCTTGACGTCAAGTACTTATTGCATTCAATAGAGCAGCATAAAAGATACCTTTTCCTTGTATTTCTATAGCACACCATAAGAGCGTAAGAGAAAGCTCTTAAACGTAAGTGCCAGGCTGCAACAATAAAAGGTGCATTTGTTTACAAAGTAAGCACGTGAGAGTTCAGCTGACAAAGCTGACATACCAGAGCTAACAAATCAGCTGCGTTTAGTAACGGACCGACTGCTTACTTGGAATGGTGGTAACAACTTCACCAACTTGTAACCTGTACAGGATGGTTGTTTTTCCGGCTCCATCCAGCCCCAGGATGAGAATCCTCATCTCTCGAGTTCCAAACAAACTGGAAAAGATGGTGGAGAAAAAGCCCCCTACAAAAAATAAAAGCAGAACAGAAAGCCACCTCCACGTCAGCTGGCAAAGCAGAGACTGTCCTTACTGAACAGCAGCACATTTCTTACATTCAGAGAAAAAAGGCAAGTTCTGAGTGCTGGACCACATCCTTCTCTCATGGCCTCATGCAATTTTATCACAAATCTCCCCAGCACAACGAAGCTTGCAGAAGCATCGAGCTTCCTCATCGCGGTTAGTTTTCTCATTTGCCAAAATCTGAGCCATCTCCTCCTTTGTTTGCATCGGCCCCTGCCTTGTCAAAGCCAGAGACCACCACACAAGGACACTGCGGCACAAGAAAGCACTCCTGACGCCTACGGTCTCTCCTGGGACCACCTGCTTCTCCTTCCTTCAAACGAAGCGCAATTCTTCGGGTGCTCACCAAGTCACCCCGCCGACCAGCACCCATCGCCGGGTCGGAACGGCGCCGTGAGCTCCACCGGCAGAAAGCGGCACGCAGCTCCCCGCTCCGCCCACCCTCACGCCGTTCCGCCACACGAAAATGCAGGTCAAACGCCACGACCGTGTAGGTTAGACTCGCACGAATCGCCCAACCCCTACATTCGGGGTCTCCGCCTCCCTCACCGCTCCGCTCTACAAGCACAACCCGGCCCACCGCGCACCCCTGCCCCGACGCCCTCACCCATGTCGAGCCGCTGCGCCGGGCCCTGCCCGCCCTGCCGCTCCTGTCAGCGCCGCCGCTCGCCTGCCCGCAGCTCCACGTCGCGCGCCTCGGCGAGTAAAGGAGGCGCTCTCCCCACCCTGCTTCGCCGTTTCGACACGGGGGCGGGACGGGCTCTGCCTGCAAGCAAGAAGGGGAAGCAGAGCGCAGGGCGACCCTAACCCTCCTGATACGGAAGTACGCAGGACGGGAGGAAAAAGGAAGGAGAAATAAGAAAAAATTAATAAAGCGGGCCGAGGAGGAGAAGTGACGAATCTGCTGGTACGGAAGCAGCGTGTGCGGAAACGAGGGCGGTGCCAGGGGCGGTGCGGCATATCCTCGCCCCCCCTCCCCCCCCCCCCGCAGCCCTCACTGCCCCATGCGTCCATGGCGGTACAAGTGCAGGTGTATCCGCGCTGATCGTTCCCGCTGTGACCAAATAAACACACAACATCCGAGTCCCTGTGGGATTCGCTGCACGGCAGCAGCTGCACGAAAGGCAGACTTGCGCTGTGTAAAATGGCGGTGGAAGTAGTACCCGTCTCAAACAGCGTTCCACACAGCGCTGCGTGATGTCTGAGCCACCACAATCCCCATATTAGTTCCAGTACAGGCTTTCTCTTTAAATACAGTGCTTCCTGATTCTCACTGATGAATAGATGAACAAAACCGCTGTGAACCATCAGGCAAAAGGCAGCTCTGTAAATCATTAATAGCCAGCAATTCTTACAAAACAGATAACAGCCCTTATCTGACAACAGGGAACAACCAGCCCTGTGTGACAGATAATATCAGCACACATTAATTATGTGAAGTATAAAATAAAATGCCACTACATAGTGGCAGCTCAGGATACAATTCACAAGGCACATGCAGAGAAGTGAGCTGTAAGATCAGACAATGTAGTAAGAAATCCAGCCAGTCTCATGTTCTTTTTTACATAAGAGACAATGAGATATGAAAATCTCTTCTAAGACTAATCTCTATCTACTTACAGAACCAATCTGCTACTCAAACCTGCCTGCTCCCTCTTCAAGCGCTGTATTCTGTTGCTGTACTCCTGTTCCTGCTGAAGCAGCACAGAGATCTTCAGCTCTCCAAGCTGTAAGAACGTAATCTATGGCTGTCACCTTCTGTGCCTTTCCTCATGTTGTTTTTTTTCTTGTACCTAGAGTTCTTCAAAAAGAGGAAGTTTGTATCCATGTCAGCTGAAAAAAGGCAGGGCAATGGGGAAGATAAACAAGCAGCTTACAGTGTAAAAATGATCACCTTTCTCATAAAACCCGTATCGAAGAGTCCGATCACATTAAACGTGTGTGAAGCAAGAACAGCATGAACAGACAAACCTTTCCCTTTTCTCTGAGAGCATCCATAAATATGGTATCATCACAGTCACAGAACAACAGCTTTCGTTTCCTTTATGTTCTCCATTTGGATTCTTTCTTGCTTTAGTTCTTATATTAATCAGAACTCACTTAAAAATGATTCTTTATTTTTCAAGTTGGGAGCAGTAAGAAAGAATGCACAAAACTGATCCAAAGGGATAAGAAAAAAAAGGTAACAAAAATGCTTTTTTTTTTTTTGGACATTGTTTAGAAAATGTATCATTTATAAAATCCGATGATCCAGAAAGCCTGCCCAGACATGCTGCTTCAAGGGGCAAGCTTCATGTATCAGTCTTTTAGGTCCTTGATATCCTTAGGAGACCACGGATACGTCTCACAAGAGCTTGAATAAAGGTGTAACGTGACCGAACCTTAGAATACAACCCCTCAATGTCCAGAAGCTTCTTCTGTAGGGATTCACCAAAACTGTTGGTGGTTTCAATCTGAAGCTGAGAAACAGAGATTTGTTTCAGTCAACAATACAAAATTTTATCATTCTAGAACATGTGTTTATCCATCACCTGTCAACATCTATCAGCTTTTTCACAATACCTTACAATCTTTAGGAATTAAACAAAACTTTTTCTTATAAAGGTGCTTGAGATTGCAAAAGATTTTGAACACAGGTTCTTTTTTTGTGCACAAACAGCAGCAGAAATGTCAATGGAATTTTTTAATAAAAATGGTATTTTTTTTCTGCTGCTTTTGCACCCAATTAACACAGACTATTAAATTTCTGTGTAAGAATAAATCGATTCTGTTGTAAATACTCACACTTTACAGTCTGCTCAGTTTCTGCTCAATAACAATGTGCATTCTGTATTTTTCAGTAGACTGTGACATCTCACCTGATCTATATCATGCTGACTCACTCGATTCAGTCCACTGCTGAAATCCAAGCTGGACTCTGAACCAAAAGAACCTAGTGATAGAAAATAAGAGGTTAAAATTATGTTGGCTACTCAACACCATCATTTTTCCACACTGTCATAAATGATTTCAAAATGCAGTACTCAAAATCTGTCACTAATCTTGCGTATCAGAAATCAACTTTCTGACTTAACATATTTTCTCTGAATCACTGAGCAGCCATGATCACACAACATGGAACCTTAAGCAAAAAGTTCCTCCTCGAGTCACTAATCTTTCCGACTTCTATCAAAATTCAACACATTCTGTCAAATCAACAGTGCCTATAATTCTAACAAGTGCTTTCAAAAACACCAGTCTCCATTCTAGTTCTTCATTTTATCTTTGTTTACAATGTTTTCATATGCATCATTTTGGATCACCAGTCTGATTTCATTATTTGAACTTCACTCTGTTTGAACAACATAAATAAAATAGTAGTTCATTTGAAGATTGTGTGTAATAGACAACACTCCAAAGTCTGTGGCTGAACAATACGTGTACTGTCAATTCTTCCAAGGAAAGTCCATATATCTAAATCCAAACAACCTCTTTATTAAATATAAATGGCAGAATGTTAATAGTAACAAATTGGTTTTAAATTTAACCATCAGTTTAACTCAAAGGCATCTTGACATATCCGAAATTTTACCTTGCAGTCTTCCTCTCTTAAATGATATTCTGGAAGACAGCAGTGAGTCTTGGGTGTCAGTGGGTGTGTAATTCAGCAGATAGTGTTCCAGATGACGCCAAAGAATGAAGAGACATGTTTCTATAATATCTGTTGACACATTTCTAAGTGAAGGAGTTTGTCTTTAGATTGTACATTTACTATATAAGCATATTTACACAACCATTTAGAAGCAGCTGAAGATACTATCTCAGCCACTGTAACTTCCTCCAGCAGCAGGTTCCCACTCCCACTGCTGATAATGAGGGCCTGGAATGGATCACATGGATCCTTTACCTACTTCCATACTGGCTAGACTAGTTCAAATGACTGTGACTGAATGTGACTTGTAATGGTAGTTCAGTTGCAGCAGTGTGTTAAAGCTCAGGTTGTAAAGCTGGAAGCGGCTGTACCAGCTACAAAAGGTAGACAGGTACAAAAGGTACACAGCTGCAAGTGCACACCTTTCCTAAGCTAGATTTCGGGGGAAAATCCTGAGCCTCTGCAACAATTATTTTGTGCAGTACTAGTTATTTCAAAGAATTACTGGTATTCACTAGAAAAAGCTTATGTACAATTCACTGTAACACTGGGAACTTCAGTCTCTTTCATGAGCATCTGAATTATTTTTCAGAGAATTTTTGCCAGCACACTCGTACAGATGTGTACATATCTAGTGGGCTTGGATACTAAATTTAAGAGCTGGACGGCAATAATATTGGCAATAATAACAATAATCAGTGCTTCATCATAATTAAGAAAAATCCTAGTAAGGGTGTCTCTATGATGGGAATTATTACTGACCTCATCTTCCAGTCACAGTACTAATTAAAAAATACTTACAGCCTGAAAGTAGCACAACAATGTGCACTATTTTAAGTTTCTGTATTTCAAATTTTCCTTTTGTATGATGTGTTGTTCAACGTTGCCAGAAATCTAGGTTAAAATAACCTGTTCCTATTTCCCTGCATTTTTGGAGGGAATTACTTTGAGGTTAACTTCAATTTCAGAAGGATACAAGAACAAAGAGAAAGCAGCTTGGCTCGGTTGTTTATTAGCTTCACTAGACGTCGCCTTGCCAAAACATATTTTTGGGCAGTAGAGATTTTATCAACTCCAGCTGGCATAACCGACTGACACAGCTGTGACAAGAAGAGGAGAAAAGAAAATTATAGCAAGTCAGAACAGAAGGAAAGAATAATGAAAGAAATAAGCAAATAAAATTATTTACCAGTATCTAGAACTTACTGTTGATCAGTTATCTCTTCAAAAGTCTACACTTTAATTTTAACTTGCATAACCTCGCTTGCCAAAATATGAATAAATTAACTGTATCCTCAAGCAACTTATCTGTCAAGAAAAACGATCATTTGGTTTATCATTCAATTTACTCGTTCACTGTGACAGTGTTTCTGTATGAAGTACTCATTCTCTCTGCAACCCTGTCATCTGTAACCCAAGGTTTGATGCAGGAGTTACAGCTACTACAGCTACTAAACACTATACAAGTTGCATCTCTTTAGCCAAGGAGAAACAGGATGAATAGTCCCAAAGTGTTAACAATGGTTCTTCAACATAATGAAAAATCACTCAACAAGTCCAGTCCCCATCAATTTTATGCCACCCATTCTATGGTCCCTTCTATCAACAGCAGAAAGGACCACGCAAAATAACTGGAACTATTTATTTATCTAAGATACTTCAGAGTCCTTGGTACAGCTGTATGCGTTACAAGCAACACAGTCCCCACAAAGTCAGCAGATGTTACAAATATTACCTCTTTTATTTCATCAGGTGGGAGTTGCTCCACATTT